ACCATCGGAATAGCTTGGTTTTCGCTTTCAGTCGTCATTTTTTTCTGTAAAAGAATGACACAATCAAACGTTTAATACACGTTTTCAAACTGGAATAAAAAATCATGTAGATTTTAATCTCCAACAAAACGCCACGAAGGCTTTACTCTCCAAAATGGGAGTACACAAAACCACAAAGGCTTTAGTTTGCAGAATAATAAGAATAACACAAATACAGAAATAAATATTAAATTCCTTAAGATTGTTAGTCTCGCCAATATTGCTGTATTTGTAAATAATAATTCTGCAAAATATAAGTTAACGTAATGAAACAGTAATTAATTCGAGCCCACTGAATTCACAGTGTTTCAAGTTAAAACAATGCAGAACGAGGGAGTAGAAACTCAGAAAATCGTATGGAAATGCTGAGAGGAAGGAGTGCAATGTATAGCCAAATCTGTTGAGCGATTTCAGTTTGTGTCTTGTGTCTTGTGTGTTGTGTCTTTCTTCCATGGTGGAGCAAGTATTAGCTTGTTTGTGGAGCAAGCACATTCATGGTGGGAAGAGCATTAGGCGGCTGCCAAATGGTCAATACACGGATTGGAAAATATCTGTTACAAATGCAAAAATTAATCAATCAATCATTTGACCAAAGCCAAAGCCAAAGCCAAAGCCGTAGCCGAGCCGACCGAGCGACGACGACGACGGCGCGAGGCTTGCTTTCTTCTTAACTCTTTAAGAGCTACAAGAAGAGCAATTATATATATACCCACCAAAAATCTCTTCCTCTTCCAATATGGGACAATGTCTCATTGTCAAGAGAGGAAAACTTAAAATTTTACTCAAAAATTTTATTTTCCCTCCATTTCCCATTCACCCTCATTTTAAGACTATTTCATCTTAAAAAAAATAAAACCTCAACAAATATACCTGCTGTTTTGGATTAACTTAACTATCCAAGAAAATTTTATACACCGTTATAGTCAAGTTATTGAACTCATAGTGAAGACATATAAGTATCCAATAATATTATACTAGTACTAAAATTACAATTTTTTAATTTCTCCTCCTGTAATCACCAAACACTCTTCAAACGGGTATAACTGACAGAGCAATGCCCCATTGATTACCTTCTTGGTTTGAGACCAACAATAATGGCTGACAGCAACTTTGAACCGCATATTTGAAGCTATCTCGTTCATTTAACGGTGTGGACGAGCTGTCAAAATGGGCGAAAATTGTTTTCTTCCTGGGCAACAAGGTTGAAAAAATTAAGAGAACTTACAAGATATGCTACTTTAGTACATGCTTTATTGTTTGTGCACCTTTTCGAGGTGTTGGTCTCGTCAAACTCAATAATATCTTGTTTACAGTAAAAAAACATTCGGTGAAAAAGTCAAGTAAAAATAATAGGCAGAATACATCAGCAGCCCCTACACTTAGCCATTTTTTAACTAGTAGTAGTAGTATCTATTGGGCACTTTAAGTGACGATAAATTGTGTCAATTAGACACATATTTTGCAGCTCCAAATAAACTAAAGCGTGTGTATTTCACTTGCAAGTAAGACCAATAAGAAAAAAACAGTTACTAAAGAAAAAAGCCAAAACTGAAGGGCCCTTGGAGATGAAGACTGGTCACTTTCTCCACCCACCATTAATTCGCCGTCGATGAACCCCGCCGGTACTGTTGGATTGCAGCCGAGACTTGAAAGCTCATAACTCAACAACTCTTGCTGATTGTCACCACTATCTTTTCAGCTACCATCCATTGCAAATTTCAGCAAGCACCAACGGATTTGCCCTCTCCTCTATATCATCAACGGGTTGCTGCTCTATTTGTTGTTTGAAAAGGCTTTCCCCAAATATATTACCTCCATCAGTACCGCTTATAATTGTCCTCCGTCAGCGACTATTGATGCCCGTTAGGTCCTCAGGTGGGTTTTTGGCCGGGCTTTGGCTTCGTTGTGTGGTTAACGCTTCTTTTATTCCTAGTTGACCATTTTTCTATTGAATGTGAAATGTATTCTTAAAAAGATTTCTGGTGTTGATTGTAATTTTTGGTCACTGGAATTGAATTTGAAAGGTAGAAAGTGATTGGCATGGTGGCGGAGGAAGCATGGTGGTGGTGAAGCACCTGTAATAGTAGTGAAGATGGTGGTGGCACAATGGAAGAAGAAGAAAATTGAAGAAAAAAGAATCTGCTTCTTCTCACGCGCTCAACACAAGTGGTGTATTACACACACTGTCATGTCATGTCAGATGTGTCTATTTAATTGATACAATTTGTATCCACTTAAAGTGTTTAGTAGGTACGTACCTTAGTTTAGGCGTACAATTAAAATAAATGGCCAAGTTCGGGGGGCCGCCTATATATTCTGCCAAAATAATAATATAGCATTTTCGACCTAGAGTCATCTTAATTCTTTAAAATATCAATTTAGTGATTCCATTTAATGTTAATTGTTCATTTTGTGAATAGGGTATTTGAATAAAATTCAAATATTTCAGTGGTAATTAAGTTATTTATGTTAAAAAAACAGTTATGGTTCCATATCTAGGTTATTGTTGCAACTTGCTAGTCCGTAGCGGATTAGGGATTTGGGCCAGCCCATGTCCGTTATTCCAGTAGGGGCCAATTCCTGACCTCTTTCAGTGGTCCACTACCAGGTGATAGGTGAATGACACAAATAGGATATTTTTGTGTCACTATTAATTTTTTGACCCTCGGGTAACAGAAGTTTTGGGAAAAAATTTTATGCCATAATTTTAAAGTATGCTAGGCAAAATATTTCTTAAGTGCTAGAATTTTAAAGTATGTTGGACAATTTTAAAGTACATAACAGTTATGGTGATCGTCAGAATTTTGCCACAAATCCTAACGCATCACCAAAATCTTTCATCATTATGACGAAAAATTCTGGTGATTATCAGAATTCCTTGTATTTTAAAATTTTGGCAATCGAGAAAGATCCTGCCCAATATGCTTTAAATTCTAGCGGGGAACTACTTTCTCAAGATATTTTTTAATGCGATTAAAATATAAAAGTAGTTTAAAAAGGTACATCCAACGTAATTTCTTGATGATTTTGCATTTACAAACTATTTTCATGTTGTTGTTAGTTTTGATTGAATTTAAATAAGTTCTGCAAAAATATTTTGTGGATTAGGACTTGGATGTAAATTTTGGCTGATCGCAAAGGTTTTGATGGATTGGCGAAGATTTGCACTGCCGCGGGTCTTGTCGGCAGAGGCGGATGCACATGGGTGGAAGAGGTGTCATCCAACACCGCTTCGTCGGATAAAATATTAAATATTTATATTAATATTCGGTAAAAATGAAGCAATATAAAATAATGATACTGCCTTTTGGCAAAGAGTATTTCTTGGTCCATTGATCAAGCTTATATTTGGGTTTGTAAAGGTTGTAAGTTCAAGGCTGAAAGTAGACATTCTAACTTTTGAACATCTTTGAACGAGTATGTTAGATAAAAATTTGAGGCTAAGGAGAATCGAACCTACATCTCCTTTTGCAATAATATACAACTAAACCCTTGGCCAAGGCTTTCAACTTGGGGGAAAAATGATATTAGATAATACTTATTTATTTATTTTTTATTATTCATATAAATATGACATCGCTTATAAAATTTTTTGCGTGCGCCCCTGCTTGTCGGATGGCAAGACTTGCCTTGCTGCGAGTCCTAGCGGATTGGAAGAACTTCGTACAAGTTGTTTATAATTTTAGTACAAATTGTTCAACATCTTGATAGGTCCCATCCGCAGAAGCGGCCAACGCTGGGCCTGTGGAATTCCACAGAAGCGGTACCGCAGATGCGGCCCAGGGACTGTAGAGGCGAAAGTCCTGCTGGGCAGAACCTTCATTTAAGTCGGGACTCAAATATTTTGGGATCATTTATTGCATTCCTTAGAGAGGGGTTTTCACTAGCTATTTGAGGTAAGTGATTTCTATCCAATGTAAGTTAAATACATAGATTATGGGTAAATTTTAAAAAGTAAATTTGTGAAAATTATGGGTTTAGAGGAATAACCCTATGTTTTGATAAAAATGGAATTTACCCACGAAAATAGTTATGGGATTGAGTGAAAATTATATATTTGAGTTCGTGAGGTTATGGGCAACAACTTTCTTCGAAAATTTCTGAAATCCAGGCATGTGGGCGCGGGGGTGCATTTTAGGGACCTTCCAATTTGGGTTGGGTAATTACTCTAATAGTTAAGTCGTTTACTTTTGAGCGTATTTTAATTAATTTATACAATATTTGATTAGTTTCGGATTGTTCGGTACCGAGTTGAGGCTTTAGGGTGAATTTGAGGCCGGAAAGCAAACTTTGAGACAAGGTAAGTCTCTTGCCTAAACTTGTAAGAGGGAATTTACCTCATAGGTGATTTAAATTTCTATTTACTTCTAATTGTGGAGGCTACATACGCACGAGGTGACGAGAGTCCGTGCGTAGCTACTAACTATGTTTATCTACGGGTAGTATAGGACTCGAATCATGAAATACTTGAAATGTTTGCACCCTACTTGTTAATTAAAGTGCCTAAATATTATCGGAACTTGTTAGAGGAATAGTAAAAGACCGAATTTCATTTATTGAGTCTTGGCGGGTTACTTGACCCTTAATAAAAATTGTGGTTCATTGTACAGTAGACTTGTATTAGCTCTTAAACCGGTTATTTATAAAGTATCCTCTCTTCTTGTGGAGCGGGCCGAACACCTCGGCAGTAGATAGATGCATCTATGGTTCGTGCCGCTCGACCATCGGCAATGTACACATTATTCTGGATCAGACCGTACCACCTCGGCATAATCGTGCGTGATAACACTCGGAAGTGTAATTATATATTTGATATCTTACCCTACTTGAGAGGCTAAATTATATAAGACAGAAATTTATTTGGGACTTACCATACGTGAAAGGATTATTTACTTTCTGCTGGTTATTGAGTTATTATTATTATTTACATAACCCATGTTTATCTAGAATTCTGTATTTCTTTACTGTTAGCCCATAGTAAGTGTCGATGTCGACTCCTCGTCACTACTTCTTCGAGATTAGACTTGATACTTACTGGGTACATGTTGTTTATGTACGCACACTACACTTCTGCACTAACCGTGCAAGATCTGAGGCAGGTGCATCTGGCGGTCACACCGGCGCGCATACCTGATACCCCGAGGCCTAGTGGTGAGCTTCTTCCTGAGCCGTTCTACAGCACCTAGAGATTTTCTTTTGTACTTATTTTCTGTCTATGTTATTTCAGACAATAGTTGGAGTTTTGTATATTCTATTAGTGCTCATACACTTGTGACACCAGGTCTTGGCATACACTCTAGTAGACATTATGGTTTTGAAATATTTATATATCGATGATGGCACTCAATTGTTTTCGTTTTATTTATTAAACTTCCTACTTCTTAAATCTCTTAATAAATGGAATTTAAATTACTTGGAAACCTATTAAAAGGAGTAATCACGTAGTTACTTCTTCGTAGGCTTGCCTAGAGGCGACGTTAGGTGCCCTCACATCATATAGGAGAAATTAGGTCGTGACAATATGGTATCAGAGCACTAGGTTCACGTAGGTATCACAAGTTTTGAGCAGGCTTAGTAGAGTCTTGCGGATAGGTGCGGGGATATCCGTACTTACCTTCGAGAGGCTATAGGGTGTTAGAAAACTACTCTTTTCTTTATCTCCTATCGTGCAATTGATGTTATGCTAAGTATCATTCTCTTATTCTCTTATAGATGGTGAGAACACGCGCGACAGATGTACCCAATCATGGTGGAGCTGCTCCCCCTGTTGCTAGAGGTCGAGGCCGCTGGAGGGCTCCAGCTCGTGGTAGAGGATGAGGGCATCCTATAGTTGTTCCAGTCATGCCACCAGTTGATCCAGTAGAGGATCCTATTATTGAGGAGCAGAGGACGGTTCAAATATTGGAGGATATGCTCAGAGCATGTATGATTGACTTCGGAGGGCAGTGGGATCGATTCTTGCCTTTGGCCGAGTTTTCTTACAACAACAGTTATCAGTCCAGTATCGAGATGGCTCCATTTGAGGCGTTATATGGCCGGCGATGTCGTTCGCCCATCGGATGGTTTGAGCACGGCGAGGCTAAGTTATATGATACTGATTTAGTGAAGGATGCCTTGGAAAAAGTAAACTTGATTCAGGAGCGACTTCGCACGGCACAGTCCAGACAGAAGAGTTACGCGGATCAGAAGGCGCGTGATTTATCATTTATGGTAGGCGAGAAGGTCCTCTTAAAGGTCTCGTCGATGAAGGGAATCATGAGGTTCAGGAATAAGGGCAAGTTCAGGCCAAAGTTTATAGGTCCATTTGAGGTATTGAGGCGAGTTAGGGATGTTGCTTATAAGCTTACCTTGCCTCCCAGCCTATCGAGGGTTCATCTGATTTTTCACATGTCTATGCTCCGGAGGTATCATTCCGACATGTCGCATGTATTAGACTTCAGCACGGTTCAGCTAGATGAGAGCCTGGGTTATAAGGATGAGCCAGTTGCCATTGTTGACAGGCAGGTTCGACAGTTGAGGGCCAAGAAGATTTCTATGGTAAAGGTTTAGTAGAGGGGCCAACCAGTCGAGGAGGCGACTTGGGAGGCCGAGGAGGACATGCAGAGCAGATATCCACACTTATTCAGCACTGTAGGAATGATTCTAGACCTGTTCAAGGACGGACGTTTGTTTAAGAGGTGGAAAATGTAATAATCTGACCAGTCGTTCTGCTTTCTAGATCCCCGTTCCACTAAATAAGACTCACCGTATGTGCTTTCACTATTTTATGACTTGCGTGGATGGTTAGTTCTGGATATAGAAGGGTTCGGGTTGAAATCGGAACACTTAGTTCCTTAGTTTGGCTTAAAAAGGCTAAGTTTGGCTTTGGACAACATTTTTGAGTAAACGATCTCAGAACTGGGATTTGATAATTTCAATAGGTTCGTATGATAATTTTGTACCTGGGCGTATGTTCGGATCGGATTTTGGATGACCCGGGAGTGTTTCGTCGCTTAATGTTAAAAGTTGGCTTATTGAAGGTTTAAAAGTTCCTTAAATTTGGTTTGGAGTAGGTTTTGGTATTATCGAGGTCCATTTAGGATTCCGAGCCTGGGAATAGCTCTGTATGTTAACTTAAGACTTGCACGCAAAATTTGGTGTCATTCCGAGTAGTTTAGGTGTGATTTGGCACGAGTTGGACGAACTTGAAGTTCATAAGTTGATCCTATTGGTTTTGGGTTGCGATCCTTAATTCTAATGTTATTTTCCGCGTTTCGAGGGTGCGAGCGAGTCCGTTTTATGTTTACAAACTTGTTAGTATGTTTGGACGAGGCTTCAGGGGACCTTGGGTGCAATCCGGACGATGAACGGATCGAATTAGAACTCAAAAGGGCTGTTGGTGCACCAGTTATGGTGTGCCCGCACCTGCGAGCTTGTGGCCGTAGAAGCGGCTTTGGGGCATTTGGCCAGAGGCCG